GTATTCCTAGTGCCAGGCCCATAGCCAGGATTTTGATTGGGGGGGGGGGGGCTGAGTTTGATTCGGGGAGGGGGGCTGCGTCTGAGTCTACCCTAGCAAACCTTTTGTATTGTTACCCCAATACCCCCATGCATATGGGATACATTGAGTATGGTGATCACATCATGATACGAATAAACATAACAGTTTAAATAATGAACCAGTAAGGCCTTCTCGCGAACCACCATGAGAATTTTGGAGGGGGGGGGGGGGCTGAAGCCCGTGAAACCTCCCCCCTCCCCCGGCTACATGCCTGCCTAGTGCCATGCCAGACAGTTGGCCCAGTTTTACCCAGGTTCTTGCCATATCACCTGGCAATTGCTTGGATTGTCTTTTACCCTGAATTCTTTAAAAAAAAGATATGTTGCTAGTTCTTGTAAAAACCAAGATATAGGACACAAGGTGGGTCTCCCCTTCTGTCAAATTGATTGGCAAGAAGCAAGCCCACCCCTACCTTTCTGAATCAAAGGAAGAGAGAGAGAGGTGCCATTGGGGAAATGCAACCCATACATTGTGAGATTGCAACATGCGATGAAGAAGAGAGTGGGAAAGCAGGAAACAGGGCCGTTTGATCTGTGGCATGCAAGAAGCAAGGAAGAGGTACATTGCAAGTGTGAGGCGAGGCAGTACAGGGAGCAATGGGAATCAGAGTTTGCTGATTGGTGTGGATGATGGAACTCAAAAAGGCAAGTTTGCTGAGAAGCAGTGAAGATCAGGGTCACATGGCAGATTTTCTGACCAAGTAGAGATTTCTGCCTCCCTATTGCAAATCCAGAACTTTGAATATTAATCTGACCGCATTTTTGTATACGAACCCACATGATCTCTTCGATCATCTGGAGAGGCCCTGCTCGCGCTCCCACCTCCATCGCAGGCACGATTGGTGGGGACGAGGGAGAGGGCCTTCTCGGTGGTGGCCCCTCGACTCTGGAACTCACTCCCTATCAGGCATGCCCCAACTCTGGCAGTCTTCAGGAGGAGCCTGAAAACATGGTTGTTCCAGTGTGCCTTCCCAGAATAAGGAAACTCCCAGCAATATGTCCCTAGATGCACTTTATCACTGATCTGGGATTGTCTGCACGCCCTTTCCTCTCCGAAATTCTATCCTAGTTATATATTTCACCTGGTCATGCTCAGCATTATTTTTAAAATTTTTAATTATTACATTTGGCCCAGCCATAGGTTTTTAAGCGTTGTTGTGCTATTGTTAATGTTTACTGATTGTTTTTGTTTATGAGTTTCATTTTATTGTTTTGTATTGCTGTTGTTGTTTTTGCTGATGTACTGTGGGCTCGGTCTCATGTAAGCCACACCGAGTCCCTTGGGGAGATGTTAGCGGGACGCAAATAAAGTTATTATTATTATTATTATTATTATTATTATTATTATTATTATCTGTACTAGTTCTCTTAGGGCCCTTCTACACAGCCATACAACCCAGAATATCAAGGCAGATAACCCACAATATCTGCTTTGAACTGGGTTATCTGAGTCCATACAGACATATAATCCAGTTCAATATGTGGAAGGGGCTCAGATCAATTGTAAATATAAGAAAAAAATTGAAAGTTTAAATATAATGGGGAAAACATGCAACAATTAACAACAGTTAACACGCTAAATCTACAGTTATGGACAGTAAATGAAATTTCCATCACTAGACTAATTTGCAAAACGTGCAAATCAGATTGAATTCACGCGAGGACTGTGTTCCAGCTCCAAATAGTGTTATCCTGCTTGGGGTTGATCTCATTAAACACTCACTTGTCTTAGTCCAAATTAAAATTGGTCTTGAAAGCTATATAGTTCACATGCTGCTTGAAGCCACCTCGAAACAAAAGGGCATTTCTGGCATCATTGTGTGTTTATTTTATCAGAATGTTTTAGGTCACACAACTGTAATACCTGTGGGTGTTACAGGTGCTACTTTCCCACTTGGCATGCAAAAACCCATTGATCGATATCCTTGTTTTCCTGTCTCTTGCATTCCCGTTGCATGTCTCCCCAGCTCTCTCTTCCTGCCCTGAGTGAAGGAGTGAAAAGAACAGTTTAAAGGTTCTGGCCATAAACTAAATAAAGAGGTGCAACAAACACAAACCCAAGACAGAGGGTGCTCCCACCCATCTCTCCATTACTTTATACCTTTCTTTTGAGCTGTTGGAAATTTTGGATTTTTTTGCACTTAACAACTTTAAGCAGGATTGTAGCCACAGCAGTGCTGAGTATAATGCAGGGAAAAAGGTGGTTCTGCTGGATCAGTGGTTCCCAACCATTTTTTTAAACCAAGGATCGCTTTGACCGGAGACCACTCTCCAACATTAGTACCAAAAGGGTTACAAATCAGTTTTTTGTCAATTTTAGATTTGGTTTGGTGCTCTGGGGTGCTGATTCAGAAAATTGCATTGGATAGATCCCATCAACCCTAGTTTCTGATACAGAACATATGCCATCCAATAGCTGCTCACCCAAAGTTGCAGTCCAGGAATAGGAAATATGCAGGGATTGGGATGCTCTCAAAGAAATCCAAGGAGAAGCAAGCTTTCCTCTTGGAAGCAGTGCATTTGGATCATGGTCCTCTCCTAAAGGTCCTGGTCTAGGGAATGCTGGGAGCTATAGTCCTGAAGAGAGTGTGGATGTGCGATTCTGTGTTTTGTTTGCTAGGGGGAGTTATTTTTGTGCATGTGCTGTACTGTCGTTTTGCTTTTTTGGCTTTTGAAGTCCCTTCCGCCGTGTTTTTCAGTGTTTTTTATGAATGATGGTCACTTGTTAGCCTCACAGGTGTGTTGTGTCCAAATTTCATGTCAGTTCACCCAGTGGTTTTTGAGTTTTATTAATCCTACAAACGAACATTACATTTTTATTTATATAGATATACATAGTCACATACACACTAGCTGCCTAGAGTCCCTATATTGGGAGAAATGAAGGATAATCATAAACTAAATAAAGTAAAGCAATAAGCACAATTCTCACCTATAGCTTTGCCCCCATATAAAAAACTATAAATGTCCTAAATACAAATCTCCAGAGGACAAAAGCTACACCATCCTTTCTGGGGATATCCCCTCTGCTCCTTTCTAATGGTCAAAGAGCCATTGCCTTCCTCATGTCCAGGTTATTCCATTATAAACTCCACCCCATAGTGTGGTATGGGTTGTCACCAGTTCTTAAAGCCCATAAGAAGAAAAGTTGTCGGGTAACCCCAGAGTCCAGAACCCATGAGGCCTGAGATATCTTAGGACCCTTCCACCTTAGCCATATAATCCAGAATATCAAGGCAGATAATCCACAATATCTGCTTTGAAGTGGGTTATCTGAGTCCACACTGCCATATAATCCAGTTCAATGTGGGTTTTATACAGCTGTGTTGAAGGAGCCCAATTCAACCTGGCTATCTCTGTTCAGATCTCTTGGAGCAGAAGAATCCTCTCAGAGACCAACCCAGGAACCCAAATGCACAGAAGTTAGGAAAAGTACATGGTAGAGCAGTGGTTCTCAATCTGTGGGTATCCAGATGTTTTGGTCTAGAACTCCCAGAAATCCTAGCCAGTTTACCAGCTGTTTTGGCCTTCAACTCCCATAAATCCTAACAGCTGGTAAACTGGCTAGGATTTCTGGGAGTTGTAGACCAAAACATCTGGAGACCTGGGAGTTGTAGACCAAAACATCTGTGGACCCACAGGTTGAAAACCACTATGGTAGAGGATGGGAGAGTTTGTTGATCAACACTATCCCATACACATGTACCTTTATCAATAGTCTGAGTGGAACAGATATGCCTATATGAGCCAGTCACTTCTACATGCATGTGCATGATCAACTCATACCTTGAACCAATGCACAGAGACAACAAGAAAGTCAGCTTTTACAACCATAGTCTGCCTCCACCACCCAGACCTATTGATCTGATCACTTCATTACTTGAAGAGGGGCTCTGGATAAGAAAGTTGCGGTCCTAGGTCAAGCAACAACAGTAGACATAGAATCATAGAATCATAGAGTTGGAAGAGACTTCATGGGCCATCCAGTCCAACCTCCTGTCAAGAAGCAGGAATATTGCATTCAAATCACCCCTGACAGATGGCCATCCAGCCTCTGTTTAAAAGCTTCCAAAGAAGGAGCCTCCATCACACTCAGGGGCAGAGAGTTCCACTGCTGAACGGCTCTCACAGTCAGGAAGTTCTTCCTCATGTTCAGATGGAATCTCCTCTCTTGTGGTTTGAAGCCATTGTTCCTTGTCCTAATCTCCATGGAAGCCAGATCACTACAGCACTCCTCATGTAAGCAGCTCCTGGGATTTTGTTATCTGTGTTGCTTTCTACTGTCATACATGAAGATGTACATAGATGTGATTACTTCTAGCTATGATGTACCTGTAGATGTTTTAGTTGCAGTGAAATGGCTCATTGCCGACAGTCCTCTATTATCTTAAGCAATTAAAAGTTCTTCAGAGTAGCTTTTGGCCATAAACTAGTTTTATATTTTGATGTATCCCCCCTCTCCTCCCCGCTTACATAATTATCCAAATCAGGAGCACTATTTAATGGAAATGCTGCCAGTACGTGATCTGAAACTGTAGGGGTTATATAAGCCAATCTCCCCCCACCCTTGCCATTTGGATAAAGATTTATGTCAGACTTGGCAAGGCGGGGTTCGTTGGCACTCCTGTGATCAAAGGCTCCAGAGAAAGCATATTTCGTCTTCTGTCTCCTCTTTGCTTTTCGCCTCCCCCCATCATTTCCCTTCAGAGTAGGACAGCACCAAACATTAACACAATACATGCCAAGGAAGCAGAAAGATCCTCAGGGAAGTGTGAAAAAGAACATCGCTTTGGGCTAGTTCAAAAGCAGCATTGGTAGTGACATTTCCATTCTCCCAGCATGCCCTCTCACATTCAAGCTGCCTTGCTGTTTTAAGGTATTCTGCAGCGCATTGTCAGGCGGTTATATGGGGACACCTACCTCCTGGCAGGCTTAATGGCCCACAACCCTGCTCTTTGTCCGTCTCATTTTCTTTCATGAAGATCCGTTTTATACAAATCCGCCAGAGTCCAAAGTGGGCCATCTCGCAGGTAGCGTTGTACTCTTCTACCTTAGGACTCAGCACGGCCCAGTGGTCCGTCACCACCGCTGTGAACATTAAGACGATGCCTATCAAAATGATGGTAAAAGTCACCCGGACTTTCAAAGCCTTGCCTTCGGTCATGGCTGGGAGGCTTAGGCCAAGACGCAGTAGTGCAGGCCGGTTCTGGATTAATCTGCTGGTGACAAGGAACACTGCAAGTCATCTGAGTTGTCTTCCAAAGTCTTGGCGTATCTAAGCATGTTCAAATGTCAGCCCTGCAGTGGCAAAGAGGAGTAGCGAGGAGAGGGTTGGGGGAGGCAAGCAGCAGCACTTACAGCTGTTGAGATGTATCAGATGACCAGTCGGGCTGTGAGTGAGGCTTCTATTAATGCACAGTTTGGGCGAAGGAATAGGCTGCTCAGATTACGACTGCCGGGATTTGCTCTGGGAATTCCAAAGGCTGTCTTGGAGCAAAATGGACTTAAGGGAATGAATAACCACCCCTATAGCAAGCACCAGGCTGGGGGTTGTGTAGATGTATGAACTGAAAGCTATAAATACTAACACATATGCTGGAAACCTCTGTGCAAGCATACCAAATAAGGCAATAGAAAAGGTTGAATTCAGCAATCTGTGCTTGTGTGTTTGGGTGTGCACACTTCTTGTTACACAATTTATTTTGCTCTTGCTATTCATAGGGAGGGACTAAGAGTCATGAATGGTATTGGAAATCCCCTGGTCACCACATGGGGTTCTCCCCCATACATTGTGCACAGGCCCGTAGCCAGGATTTTGATTCGGGGGGAAGGCTGAGTTTGATTCGGAGGGGGGGGGGGTGAGGATCTACCCCAACAAACCTTTTGTATCATTATCCCAATACTCCCATGCATATGGGATATATTGAGCATGGTGATCAGATCATGATATGAATAAACATAACACAGACATATAAACCCATTTTCCTAATTCCAACAGACTTCACTACCTCTGAGGATGCTTGCCATAGATGCAGGCAAAACGTCAGGAGAGAATGCCTCTAGAACATGGCCATATAGGCCTAAAAAACCTACAACAACCCATAAACATAACAGTTTAAATAATGTACTAGTAAGGTCTTCTTGCGGACCCTATGAGAATTTGGGGGGGGGGGAGGGGGGGCTGAAGCCCCTCAAGCCCCCCCCCCCGGCTATGGGCCTGATTGTGCATAAGCCAAGATGGTAAAGATGGCTTTGTAACTGATATAAGAACCCAGGGCTATTGTTGTTCATTCGTTCAGTTGTCTCTGACTCTTCGTGACCTCATGGACCAGCCCACGCCAGAGCTCCCTGTCGGCCGTCACCATCCCCCAGCTCCTTCAAGGTCAGTCCAGTCACTTCAAGGATGCCATCCATCCATCTTGCCCTTGGTCGGCCCCTCTTCCTTTTACCTTCCACTTTCCCCAGCATAATTGTCTTCTCTAGGCTTTGCTGTCTCCTCATGATGTGGCCAAAGTACTTCAACTTTGTCTCTAGTATCCTTCCCTCCAAGTGAGCAGCCGGGCTTTATTTCCTGGAGGATGGACTGGTTGGATCTTCTCGCAGTCCAAGGCACTCTCAGCACTTTCCTCCAACACCACAGTTCAAAAGCATCTATCTTCCTTCGCTCAGCCTTCCCTAAGGTCCAGCTCCCACATCCGTAGGTTACTACAGGGAATACCATGGCTTTGACTATGCGGATCTTTGTTGCCAGTGTGATGTCTCTGCTCTTTACTATTTTATCGAGATTGGACATTGCTCTCCTCCCAAGAAGTAAGCGTCTTCTGATTTCCTGGCCACAGTCTGCATCTGCAGTAATCTTTGCACCTAGAAATACAGCAGGACTCAAAACAAGGACCACACTATACTAGGAAGGAGGCCTAGTTCTTCCTTCTCCAATGTCAGACTGCAGTGACAACCCTCCCCTACTCCCAGTCCTTGAAGGAAATCTGCTGTTAACTTCAGTGGACAGAAGTAGTGACAGATCCTTTTCTACATAATCCTCCCAATTCTAGTCCTCCCCCCGCCCCATTGTTTTTGAAATAATAAAAAATAACTATGAAGGAGGTGAATGCCGACTCAGTCATGGTAAAGTGTTTTTTTCATATTACATGACAGGAAAGTGCTAATAATAATAATAATAATAATAATAATAATAATAATAATAATAATAATAATTTATTTATACACCACCCTATCTCCCCTAGGGGACTCAGAGCGGTTTCCACATATGCAAAATAATACAAGAACATACAATATAGATGCAGGCAAAACGTCAGGAGAGAATGCCTCTAGAACATGGCCATATAGACCGAAAAAACCTACAACAACCCAGGCTTATTTAAAGTTGGAAAATGTGCACAGATTAAGCTGCAAGGATAGTGTGAGCTACCAGAGGAAGCAATGTAAGGTTTATTCTTATGGCATTCCTGTTGATCCTTTCTTACACTCATGCCTCAGGAATGTGCCAAAGAGCCTTATGGTACCTTGAAAATGAACAGATCTATTGTACCATAGGCTTTCAAGAACCGAAGGCACTTTTATTCCCAAAAGGGTCTGCTATAGAAAGTCTGTTAAGTTTTGGGTGCTTCTCTTGCCTTGAACAGAGTTCAGAAAAGTTACATTTTTGACTATAATTTCCCTGGACTCTCTAGCAGACATCCCAAGTTGAAATCCAGAATGTAACATTTCCATGCTGTGCCACAGACAAAAGTCACTCCTCTGGAGTGGTATGACACCTTATTTCTGTTTGAGAAACAGTTGTAAAAAAAACACAACGCTTCATAAACACTTCATAAACTTCCTTGTTAGCAGATGTAGATCAAATTAAAGTAATAAGAAATGTTTGTTACCTTTCTGGTTCTCAGAAATCCATGCAAATTTTGGTAATCCCAATAGTATTTTTGCATTTCAGGACCCGTCCACACAGTACTTTTATAAAGAAAGGGCTGTCCAGACAACCTTTTGGACAGCCTCGAATTAATTCGCTACAAACCATGAAAACCCTGGTTTGTAGCGAATTAATTAGATAGCGGATTTATTCCACGCCTTCTTGGAAGGCGAGGGATAAACCCACTATTTCTGGTGTCTGGATTGCAGTCCAGACATCATTCCACGGTTTTCCGGACTAAATTAGTCCGGAAAACTGTGGGAATATCCACCCCTTTCCCCCAAAGAGGGACGTAGAAATGACACACCAGGAGAGGGGGGAGGAGGAAAATGGCTCCCCCCCCCCGCTTTCCTGGCACATCATTACTATGCGCCGGGAGAGCTGCTCCGAGAGTGCACTGGAGGCTGGGTAAGTTTATTTTACTTTTCAGAGGGGTCTGAGGGCTTTGGGGGAGGGGGGTAGGGCCTCCAGATGGACACCCATCCCAGAAAAGGCACGTTTTCTGGGGTGGGAGTGGACAGGCCCCCAGAAAAATCCACATTTTAAAAATGCGGATTCTCCTGGGATAAAGACCTGTCTGGATCCACCCTCAGAGGATTTTTCTTCTTATCCTTCTCTTTCTTCTTCTGATGCAATCATTACTACTTCATGGGAAGATTGTTCTAATCATAACTTAGGGTGTCAGTGGTTCTCAACTACTTACTTACGTACTTAGGCGATCCCTCATTGGCCGAGTAGGATAGTCTTCCAGGATCAGTGTTCTGGTGGGTCCCTAGGTGACTGTGGAGCCCTATTCTTGATCTGCATCTTCTTCCGCAGTGAGGGCATTGGTTTCCAGGTGGAAGGCAGTTTTGGTCGGGGTTGGCTTGACGCGCCTTTGTCTAGGCACGTTTCTCTCATTCGCCCTCCATTTGTGCCACTTCAAATTCTTCAGCATTGCTGGTCACAGCTGACTTCCAGCTGGAGCGCTCTAGGGCCAGGGCTTCCCAGTTCTCAGTGCCTATGCTAGAGTTTTTAAGGTTGGCTTTGGTAGAATTAATGTAGTCTGGCACCACTTTAACTACCATGGTGCAGTGCTATGGAATCATGACAATTGCAATTTTTCAGTGTCTTTAGACTTCTCTGCCAAAGAGTGCTGATGTCTTACCCAACCACAAATCCCAGGATTCCATAGCATTAAACCATGATAGTTAAAATGGAATCCAACTGCTTTAATCCTTCAGTGGGGATGCACTCCTAGTTACTTTCCTTTCCACTAGGGCTTGGCACAGAAACAGACCAATTATCAACAACCCTCATATGATTCCCAAACAACCAAGACGGCTGTCAAAAGGAACTGGGGCGCTTCTGACTCAGGTCTTTCATTTCAATTGCACTGCGCTCTGCATTCACAAAGGAAAGTGGAGAGTGTCACCCAAGGTGACTATGATTTCAGATAAAAGGAAGAAAAAGCAGTAAGAAAAAGAAGTAGCTCAATTATAGCAAATAGTCCCGTCCCCCCCACACACGTATCCCTCACAGAAATCAAAATGCCTTGATGATTGGCGTCTATGGTTCTAAGAGATTCCGACGAGACAGATATGATACCACTCCCCGTTTTAAAATTCCAATTCCCGAGTGTGCTGCAATGGTCCATACCGGGGAAGGCATTCTGCCCTACTTAAGAGTGGTTTCCCATCTTCAAATAGCCTTGCAAGCAATTCCTAGTCATTAAACTCAGGAGAAACTGAGATGTATACCATCAGAATGACATGGGGGAAGGTTGTCACTAAGTAGAAACTTCACATAAAGTGTCACTGAACTTGCTGGTAAATTATGTCTGCTCGGGCCTGTTCATAGAAACTACACGACAGTAGAATGTGATAAATGCACTCTACTTCCTGTTTGTTACATGGGCAGAGTCTTTCATTGTATGTATATTGTTGTTGTTTCGTTCAGTCGTTTCTGACTCTTCGTGACCTCATGGACCAGCCCACACCAGAGCTCCCTGTTGGCCATCACCACCCCCAGCTCCTTCAAGGTCAATTCAATCACTTCAAGGATGCCATCCATCCATCTTACCCTTGGTCGGCCCCTCTTCCTTTTTCCTTCCATTTTCTCCAGCATCATTGTTTTCTCTAAGCTTTCCTTTCTTCTCATGATGTGACCGAAAGCCCCCGGTGGCGCAGTGGGCTAAACCCCTGTGTTGGCAGGACTGAAGACTGACAGGTTGCAGGTTCGAATCTGGGGAGAGGCGGATGAGCTCCCTCTGTCAGCTCCAGCTCCTCATATGGGGACATGAGAGAAGCCTCCCACAAGGATGATAAAAACATCAAATCATCCAGGCATCCCCTGGGCAACGTCCTTGCAGACGGCCAATTCTCTCACACCAGAAGTGACTTGCAGTTTCTCAAGTCGCTCCTGACACGACAAAAAAAAATAATGATGTGGCCACGCAGCAATTCAGACGGGAGCACATTGCACCTAGTTTTGGAAAATAGGCAGCGATGTTTAGCTACTGTCAAGTTTTTTAGATAGTTTTCTGCATG